GAGCGAGCGAGAGGAGCCGCATCGCAGGAGCCCAGGACGCTCCGGGCTCCCGGCCCCGTCCCGCGGGGAGGCAGCAGCCCCAAGGTATCGGATCCCGGGTGCACTTGTGGGGATGGGGGGTGGCGAGCGCATGGACCGGGTCCCGCGGCTCGGCTCCGGGGTTGTCTTTACCTGTGACACTGCGAGCCGCGCACGGAGGCGGGCGGCGCTTCCGAGCCGCTCGACGGGGCGCAGAACGCTCCCCCCTCCAGCGCTCACCCGGCCGCCGGCGCAGGACCCGTCCCTCCCCGCGGGCCGCTCCGGGACGCCGGGCACACCTCCCCGGCCGCGCTGCCCGCCCCCGATGCCGGGGATGAGGGGTCCCGGCGCCGTCCGAGCGCGGAGTCGGCGTGCCCCGCTGCCAACGCGCCCTTGCCCTGTTCCTCCCTGCAGGAGCCCGAGATGGCGGACAGCGCCGCGGCCACCGCCGCTCCTCGGGCCGGCGTCAAGGGCTCGGCGGGGCCCTGGTGGAAAGCGCTGACCAGCAAGAAGAAGCACAAGGAAGCGGCGGTAGCCCCGCCGCACCCCGCCGCCAGCGAGACCCCCGCCGATCCCCCGAGCCCCGAGGGCCGCGAGGAGCAGCTCCCTCCCTTCGGCAGCGGCGACGCCGCGGGATCGGGAGTCGGCAGCCGGCGGAGCCTCCGCGTGTCCCACTCGGGCCGCTTCAAGGAGCGGCGGAAGGTGCGCACCTCGCTGCTGGCCGACAGCCCCGAGGTGTTCGACGGCGGCGGCGCCMCGGGCCATGCCGCCCAAGGGGCCGAGTAGCCCAGCAGGACCTTGCCGAGGAGCTGCCACTGCGTGAGTGGCCGGAGGACTGGCGGGACAGGCAGCMGGCGTCAGTGACTGCCCCACAGCTGGGCTCGGACCCATGGGTGACAYGGAGGCGTGTGGCAGCGGCCTCCCAAACCCTGACCGGACAGTGCGGAGAGCCCGGCACCGCTGCCAGGCSAGGGAATCGCGTGCTGTGTTACACGAACACCGCCAATACCAAACCCCCGGATGATGGGATGATGTGATTGTCTTTTTAAAAACCCACAAATAAACACCCCACTCCCTGTACTGTGGTGAGCGGACTCAAAGGTGCTATCCCAAGGCCGATGGTGGGCTCTCTGAACCTTCCCTCAGCCCTTGCCAGGAGCCGACGTGCTGACTTCTCAGGCCTGTGACCCAGCTCATTTTGGCTCTCCAGCTGAGGAGGCGCTTTGCTGCTTTCATCTCACAGCTGTCTTATCGAAGGAAGGGGGGAACAAAGTGCTCTTATCTAATTTCAGGGCCGAGGACCTCCGGCGGTGCCGTAAGTGCGCCTGTGCTGCCGTTAGCCATGAGCCCATCCTCCATCCCCCACAGGGGTCAAAAAAGAGGTATTGTGAGGGGCATTGCATTTGCCCGTGTCCCACATCACATCACATTTCCCAGTGGAAAAGGCAGGACTGTGCTGGTATTCTCCCTCTTCCTACTGTGTAATACTAAGCAGGTGTTCCACAGGTCCCTCACAGTTCTGTAACAGAGGGAGGCCCATGTTTGTCTAGTAATTCGCACTATTTACCCAGGAGATATGTGGGTTTTGCATAATYGGTGATAACTCGCATAATGAAGCTCCAGTGAAGAAATTGTGTGATAAGATGTGAATGTCTTTCTGGGAGTTGAGACCAGCCCTGGAGAGCACAAGCAGGGTTACAGTTCTAAGGTGGAAATAGGCTTGGGCACCACTGGAAGTGTTTAYTGTTTACCATGTCTGAGGCTTTTGAAGCAAGGTTAAGTGTCCCAGGATTTCTTCTGGTGGTGAGATAACATGCTTTCACTCAAGCAGTTATCAACCCCTTCGAAGAGCTCTTGGATTTTTGTACAAGTCAATATAAGCCAGATTTGTACTGTTGTGCCTTACAGAGCAAAATCATCTAAAAATACTTCACAATTACACATTTCTTGATAGTAGGTGATGTAGCAACAGCTGATTTATTTATTTGAAACACATTTCCAATATATTTATATTGTTAAAATGGTTTTAGACTTCTTCTGAATATGAGATACTGCATAGTGGCAGGGACTGAAAATTGTTTCCTAACAGTCAGGCATTATGCAGTTATGATTTTGTTTGGTTGTAACTAATCATTTGAGGTCAAATAAAAATAAAAAGTGACTGGAAAGGAAATAACTGAGTTCCAGTTGAAAGTATGGATTAAACCAGCTGCTGACAATCACTGAAATGATGCACTAGACACTAGGCAAGTGTCCCATGGTTCAATGTGCACAATAATAGGTAATGAACTTTGAAAGGTCCTGTGCAATAAACTCAGACCTGTTGAGGTGTTCACTGGTCATTCAACCCTCGAGACTCTGGAACCCAAGCACAAAGGGACTGTAGCTTCAAATCTATAAAAGCTCATTTTTTTTTCACCTAGCTTACAGAAACATGCTTTTTTAATTTCATTCAGTAAAACTACGAGGTACTGGATTTGGACTGCCTTTTTTATTTTGCATTCTCCATGCTGACCAAGCAAAGATCTTCAGCTCTTCAGACTTTCTCCTCAGAGGTGCTTKTCTTCTGGGAGGCCTCTTCAGTCAAGGGGCATCGGAAATTCTTCTCTTGAGAAGAAGCAATTGGAACAAATCTAGTCTTGAAAATAGGGGGGTGAAAGAGAAAAAGGAGAGTTTAAAAGCTGGAAACAGRGAAGTGAATGAAGAAAAACCGTATTCCAGCTACAGTTAGCCCAGGGYGGGAGCAGGGGGAAGGAGGCAGAAGAGGTGGCTTTGCTGCCAGGGTTGCCATACTACCTTTGGAAGGCAAACTGTTCATGTTTATTATAGGCAAAAATAGTCTGCCTGCATTTATGTGTTCTAAGGTCCAAAGAAACGTTTTTGTATGTGTGTGTCCAAAGTGGAAGAACAAATAGGCAGAAATTGCRCTGCTGCATTTCTTAACTCCTGCATCTGGCTTGGTGTGAGTTCTGTCAGGGTCAGGTCCTCAGAACTATCTAGAGGCTGGAGAATGAATACAGATTAGTGTTCTATGTATCTCATGTAGATAAATGCTTTTCTGCATTTTTAATCCTCATACTGTTGTGAAAATACCATTTCCTCCTCTYTCCTGTACCTCAAAGCTGCCTTGTTCTGCAGCAAACCTCTGTTTGCTCTTTGGAACTTTCTCAGGTTTGTTAGTTGAAAGTCTTTAACTAAGCACAAGAAATATCCAATTTGGTTTTATTTGAGGAGTCTGGTGTGCTGTTCAGATGGCTGCTGCTAAGACTCAATATCAATACTGGTTAATATGYGACTAAATATTAGCCATGTCTTAATCCTTGTGTATGATACTTTCATCTTGGGAATTTGGTCAGAATATGAAGTCAATAAACACACGTAAAATGCCTTACAGCCCTCCTCCATCTTTATCCTGACCTTGAGCTGTGGGAAGGAGACGTAATTCTATCTTCCTGCTCAGTCAAATCCTTGCTTCAATGAATATGATAGCAGCCACTGAAAAACTAGATCCATGAGAAAACGGGCTGACTGCCTCGTCTCACTTTCCCCGCCCTCCRTGCACGGCAATACCTGCAGCTTGGTGCTGCCCCACGTACCAGGGCCAGGAGGAGGGAAGAKGTCTCTTGGCCAAAACCAGCCTGTTGCACAGAAACAGTCCTCTTGTTTCTCAGCCTGAGCACCAGATAAAGCTTAAGTAATCTCTACACATGTAAGTGAATTAAGAAAAAAACGCTGTCATTTTATGGACCAYCTGAATTATTATTTTTTACCCTTGAAATGGAAATAATTTCTTATATATTGGATAATACTCGCTCTGTTATAACAATAGTGCATTTCTGGGCATTGGATTATTAAAAGGCAGTTTGCACTCTTTGTACGAGTATTTTTCTCATCTTCTTTATAAAGATCATGCATCATTAAGTAAGTTTAGGAAACAGGGTGACTGAGAAAGTACTTGCTGTTTATTTTTAAAAGTGAACAGTGACATATTGACAAAATAAATGGAAATAAGCAGATGAGGTGAACCTCAGCAACRTCAGTTATAGTGCAATTTTCTTAATGTTATCCCAGATACTAAGGATTGCTGGTTTGGGGCAAAATAAAAAAAAATAGCAAATAGGGTGAACTTTTCAAATAAACTTGCAAAGTATATGGTTGCTTATTCCTGCTCTTGCCAAAACTAAAAATAAATCTCTGAGTGGTTGCCTGGTGAATCATTCCCTGCTATTGTAGGTTGGTCAGTCTGGACCTCAACAAAGATTATAGGGAGCACCTGCAGAAAATGATCCTAAATTGGAAATGCTGGAATAAATGCCTTGAAAGTCTCAAGACTTCTAACCTCAGATGTTATGTCAGGGTACAACTTAAACTGAACGGAAGAATGGAGAGGGGACCTTACTGTTTAGGGAGGAGAGGAGTCTTCAGTGTTTGGAGAGGG